TCGGCCGCAATGCCACCAATGTAGTCACGATTTTTATTTCACACACGAAATGCTGTAACTTGAGGAAGAAAACACAAGATTTTGGTCCAGATTAACATTTCAAATTTGTTTAGACATGAGAATGCGACGCGAGCGGTCGACCGGTCGTGTCCGCTCGAGTCGCATCGGCAAGAGGTCTCGTGTACTGACTTTCGCCCAGAAATGTTCGCGCATCGCAAGCATCAAGTCACCGGTGATCGTTGCTCAGACTTACTGAGTTTTCCAAACCGAGTGCGATGTCGTCCCGTATTGAAAATCGCAGTCGCGAGGATGCCGCCGACGTCGCCCTCAGGACGCCCCTCAGCGGCCTTAGCCACGGTGCCGACTCCTGGGAGCTGCCATTTTTTTTACTCTGCTCGTCTTGGCTTTAGCCAACTTCTCACTAGCAAGTTCATTGAGATCAGTGAGCAAGTTTTAGAATAGCACATGCCAACGTTTGCACATGCTAAAGCTTTGTGTACGCAAAAAAAAATCGCGTCGTCGCCACTACGCATACGCCGAACTAACCACGTTTTGCGCTTTACATGGATTATTTTAACGTACGCTATTTCTCAGAAATTGCGTGCGTACTTTGCGCTACTCCAAGGAGGAATCCTATGAGAAGTTGGCTAAAGCCAAGACGAGCACATTTTAAAAAAATGGCGGCTCCCAGTTCACAGAATCACGCAAGGCACGACCAACCATAGAGAAATATGGACCAACTCTGAACAACCTTGCACAGAACCATGTCTGCAGTATCCTCCTTGGTCTGCGGATGGTCTGCGGCCGCTTTGGCGGTGTCGTGAGTGCAGCGTCGGCGGCATCCTCGTGACTGCGATTTTCACTACGGGACGTCATTGCACTCTGTTTAGCAACGATCACCGGCAACTTTATGCTTGCGACGCGCGAATAATATTTCTCGGCGAAGGCACGGTGTGCGAAAGTCAGTACACGGGACCTCTCTTGCCAAGGCGACGCAAGCGGACACGACCGGTCGACCGCTCGCGTCGCATTCTCACGTTTAAACAATCTAAAATGTTATTCTGGAGTAAAAAAAAAAAAAAAAAAAACTCCTTTCTCAAGTTACAGCATTTTTTGTGTGAAGTCAAAATTGCGACCGTATCTTGGTGGCGTAGCAAGCGCGAGATGCTTCAGCTTTCGCGTCGCTGCAGAGAAACCCCATTCTAAAACTCATTTGTGTAGCGTGAGCCAACGCAAGCGCTAAATTTAGCGCTAGCATGCGCTAAAATTGACTCCTCTGGGTTCCTGTGAAACTGGAATAGCGACACACCGTCAGCTTTACAGGCGCTGCACTTGAAGATGCAACACTTCATTACAGTGCCGCAGACTCTGCGATGCTGACAGTGGGCACACAACCGACAACAATTCCGGTGGAACACGCAGAGCACTAGCAGCACTAGCTGCTTGCTGTGACCTCTCAAATCTAAGGTCTCCAAAGGACGAACGTTCCGTGCAAACGGTCTATGCAACGTGTAGAAGAGCAACGGCATGTTCATGAACAACGCTCAAAATCTTGGATTGGATTGTCTCACTTCGTAAAATTTGAATACTTCAAAACCATTTTTTTTTTATTCCTAAATGTTTATTTTACTCCTTGGGATTCTATCCAGAACAAAAGAAAACTATCAATATAAATGTTAATTTGTTTGGTGATACGCCAAAGTCACATGGGTCAGGCCGGCACATATTGGGGTGGATTATGTTGGCTCTTCCCTTTGTATCGGGTAAGCAGAGTCGAAGCTTCGCTCTAGCCATTTTCACTTCTTAGGTTTCTCATTTTCCGCTCTAGAGTCGTCCTTTTGTGCTGTGGTTTTGTGCTCTCGAGGGCCTCTACCCTTTTTGCTTCCCGTATATCCTCCGCTGGGGGCCTCCCTTCCTCCTCCCCCTCCATGGCCGCCGTGAATCGCAGTGCCTCAGGGACAGAGTCCGTTTCCAGTGGCGGGGTCAGAACCATGGCAGGCGATCATATATACGTTTACAAGTCTGGTCTCAGGGCACCGCCATCTTGCTCAGTGGGGTGCACCTGGACACGGCCATAATGCGATTACGATGAATTATGACGCATCTAAGCACATCCGAACCGAAAGAGATGGCAGCGCCCTGAAACCGGACGTGCAAACATGTGTACGCGTCTGCAAGTCCGGCCTCAGGGCGCCGCCATCTTGCTCAAGCTGGGGTGCACTTGGGTACGGCCATAATCTGATTATGCCGCCTTAGCAAGGCTTCGTAATCAGAGTATGACGCGTCCAAGCGCACCCCAACTGAGCAAGATGGCGGTGTCCTGAGGCCTGACTTGCAGACGCGTATTGTTTTGGTGTTAGTCCTACAGATGGTGCAAAGGGTCTCCAGCTCTTCAGTAAACTTTGCTCTCCAAGTTTTTGTTCCAAGAGTTACTGCCCTATCCTGGAACAACAGTCTGCTTCCTCTTGTGTTACCGTAAAATTCCTTCTTGATGCTGTCTTTGTGAGCACTGTACGTCTGCCGGGATGATTTCCGGGACACTGCAACCCTTCATTATCGGTATCCAAGTATGCAAAGGCAGAGACGCAACACTTTGGCGTGCCAAAGAAGCTTTGATCTCGCCGAGAGACCAGAAGCGGGCATGCAAGGATGCGCGATCCAGCAAATCGTCATAGAGGTCAGTGGTTCCACTCTAGTAGAGTTTCGGTTTTGTGAAATTCACGTGCAGAGGGCCGAGTAAAGGTTCCATAAATCCTTCAAAGGTTGAAGGCTAGTAACAACATACCTCAGAATATCGCGCATCCACCCTTACCACACTAAGCGCTCATACCCAAATTTGTAAGATCTGAGAAAATATGCAGAGTACATTGATATGTAAAATTGATCTTTAAATTCTAAGTGGGCGCTTGCCCGGTATTTTATGGTAGTTCATATCAAAGTATGATCGTATGTCTTAAGATTTTATCATTTTTGCACAGCCTAACAAACGTGCCACGCCACTTCAGTGCCAATGCCATTAAAATAGAAAGTTATACTTCAATTTATGCTATACAGCTTCACAACTGCATTAATAACATAGGTGCAGTAAACTTAAGCAGTCTCGTTTGTAGAACCCTACTTTACTTGAGATTATCCGGGTTATCTCCACTTTCCCATGGCATAGCCCAGGACCTTTTACCCAAGCTGCATCATTCACCCCGGTGCTTTTGCCAACAGTCATCACTTAGCCAGACGCTGCATAAATCATCGTACTTACACAGAATTCTCTTGGTAGTTTTAGAGCGTTCTTTCATTGGTATCTTCTTCGGAGTGCAAGCGAGTGCTCGGATATACTGCACTAAAGATGCGACCATATACAGCGCTTTTGGATCGCTCCAAATCCACCAAGAGAATCCTGCAGGATCCAGACAATATGGTCCCGGACAAAACAGTGCCAGGCAAAATTTAAGACATAGTAATCGCTCTTCAAGGGTTAGTCGATTGTTTGTACTTGCTGCAAATTGAATCTAGAGAGAAAAAAAGGGGTTCTTCCAAATATTTAAGTTACAAAACGCTAACCATTTTAATAACTTATATATTCAATTCAAAACACATTGCGTGCCAGTAGCTGAATCAAGCAAAGAAAGAAAACTACAGAAATATTATACAAGTACAGATATAAATAATGTGTCCACAATATTTGACATATTCAGCAAGAGAAGAAAAACGTTCCATAACACGCCATCACTCAAGAAATTGACGTTTGTGTTCATAAAGCGTAAGGTTGGTCTGCCTTTGAGGAGCAGAGACGTGGTTTACGCTCTAGATCAGAAATTTCGACAGTGCAGTATAAAAGCAAGCCTGGGGTCCAACCTGCATCACGCAGTAGCGATACACGACTACACACACATACGCTGTCAGAAATATGTAGTATGTGCATGATTATGTCCGAATCACCATATGCTTGCGTTTGGTTGCAGGGCCATTGCACTACACTACATTTTACTAAAGCCACAGCCGATGCTACGAGCTGATAGGACCAATCAAGCAGTGCTGTAAACAAAACTACTAATTGCATTTGTCAATCTTTTGTGCATGTTTTTACCCGCTAGTCCAATCAAGTGCAGAGTGCATCACGACCTTGCGCTTTTAGTGTGTGTATTTGTGTAGCAACATTCAAGCTCCAACTCAGTTGCAAGTGCTCAGACTTATGCGACTAGGAGCCTAGGAGCCGAGTGAGCGATAATAGACTTTAAACTAAGTTTTGGGCTTCTTTAGTTGTCTGCTAAAATATATCACAAAAACCTTAAATAGTACATTGAAATATACCATATTACAGGTGTGTTGAATAAAGCTCCACTGTATCAGTTCACTAAAATTTCAGAGCACCCCAGGTGCCAACAAATTACTTGATACCATTTTTTCCTACACCCAAATTCTGCATCGCACAATCATGAACATTCAGGGGATACACCCAAATGGTCAAAATGCACAACATCATTTCACGATATTCACTGGATATCCACAAGATTATCATTTTTCGGGAAACATAATTTGTGACAAATAACAAAGCCTCGGGGAAGATAAAAAAAAGGGCAGTGTTCACAGGTATGTTCTTTCCTAACCAGCTCGCCTGCACCCTCTCACTTCTTTTATATCATTTGTGGATATCTGCGATATTCTTAAAAAAAGTATGTTTACCATATTTCGTCAAGTTAATATCCTGAGGTATCTATAACCATCTAATTTTATTTTTATTTTGCAGGTTTGAAGTTGAGACATCTGAATAAGTTGTTATATAAAGTACATGAAGTTTGTTCAATCTTTAGAATGATGCAAAGAAGAAATTAGACATAAAAAAATGTAGATGCAAATTCCGAAACTTCTTGCAAATTGGAGCAGAACAAGAACTTCTTCAGAATTCAATGCAAATGGTTCAGCCGTGACGATCGCCGAAGAACACTCCTATTGTCATCTGTCAAAGATCAAGTGCAAGGAAGGCTGAAACCAAAGCTTACTTGGCATAGCTCGTAAAAGGGCAGTAAGGCAATCCCTTGTACGGAAAAAGTAGTTTATTTGCGATTCACTGAATCCACAAAAGAATTGAGAATTGCAGTAACTCACACATTTCTTTTTACAACCTCAGGAACCCAATTCAAACTGGAGCAATGTGAAAAAAACTAGGTTAAAATGCATGAAAACCCAGAGAACTTCAAAGGAATCACATTTTAAAATGTCATTACAAATATCTATACATAGGATTCAAGGTGCCTAATAAGCATCCTGATCCTCATCCACTCAAAATGAACAAGTAGCTTGTTCATCGTCCTAAAAAAAAAACAACCTGAAGTTGGAAGTTGCTAAACTGTATTGAACAAAAAAATCTACATAGCTGTACCCGCTGCTGTTGCCTAATTGCAACTGATAATGTTTAGAACTGGTACATATGCCTTTTTCTCAACTTCGTTTGAACAAACAACAGACAGACAGTGAAACGCACGATAAAACATGAAAGAGTCCCTTTATACCTCCAGATATCGCATGACCCAGATCCCTCACTTGTGCACTTTTTTTTGATGCCTACTTAGGTGGCGACCCTGTTTAAACATTTTCCCACAGACTTCACACTTGTAAGGCCACTCTTCACTGTGGGTTCTCTCGTGACTCAATAAGTTGCTTTTATATGCAAATTCTTTCTCACAGGTGCCACACTGGTATGGTTTCTCACCCGTGTGTACTCTTTTGTGAATCGTCAGGTGATGACTTCTGGCGAACGCCTTCTGGCAAACCTCGCAACGGAATGGTTTCTCCCCCGTGTGAGTCCTCATGTGATTTCGTAAATGACCGCTTAGAGAAAATGCTCTCTCACAGACAGCAGCGGAAAGGCTTTTCTCCCGTGTGTGTCCTTTCGTGCATGGTGACATAAGAAAGACTACGACAGGAGTAAGGGCAGAACTCGCAGTTGTACATGCCCTCGTATCGTGGCCGCGTCGTGGGTTGCGACTCAACCAGCTTGCCTCTTGAGGAAGAGAAGTCGCTCTCGCTGTCCACATCGTCCTGAAAGGCTGCTTCGGCCGGCACTGTTGAGGAGATCAGAGAAACGAGACAAGGAAAGTCAAAGACAACGAAAGTCCAATGCCAAGGTGCAAACATTAGACAAGCTTAACAAGTCTGCACTGCCTTAAGGAAAGACACTACCTAGAAAAAAAAAATTGCAAAAAGTTGATTTTGAAAAATGACATATTTACATCCACCAACATCTAGAGAGTATTCCCAAAAAGTTTAATTAATTTACACTGCATAGTTAATTTTTTATAAATTATTTTCTGTCCACCGCAGCTAAAGAAAAGGCAGGGTTTGGAGCACTTTGAACACATTTTTCTCTGTTCCACTTTTCGGTCTAAATTCCATTTTAGTCAATCTATCGTTTGATAATGGCAAAACAGGGAAGGCTCGTTCTTCCCTTTTCCTGACTGAATTTAATAACGAATGCGGCTATGGAACTTTTTTTGTCACTTTACGGATGTCTTTTATAAAGAAATGTTGACATTTTGTAGAAGACACAGAAGACCAAAAAGTTGACCAATTTTGCAGAAGAGAAACTTTATAGAAATAAATGACTTTTTGGAAAAAAACGTTCCATAGCCGCACCCTTTGGGGCATTCTGCTACATATCTAGCAAATAAAAATCTGGAATATGGTGATAGTTTTCTAACGATAGATTAACTAAACAATGTAGGCGTGTATCTGATAGAAGCTTCTTTAAGTTCCTTCTCATTTAACCGACAGACCTGAAATTTAATTATACACCCCCTCTAGCATGACCACCAGCCTACCATGCAAATTTCATTTATTTTAAGACAAAGGTTCAAAAGCTGACCTCCCTAGGGGGTGTGTCCCCTTAAACAGAAAGCAGCACACTCAAAACAAGTGCCTCAACACCCCTGTTTCAGAACAAAAAGAATAAACTCGGCAAAAAACAATTAAAGTATTGAGAAAGGCCGTTATTTAGGGATGGGTGAATATATCGGTTATTACGAATAGCCGATCAAAATTCTGCTCTATTCGGCATTCGCTTCGAATCGAATATAAGCATTCAACATGTTCGAATTATTAGACTTTTCTGAAGATTCTTGCTTGGATCTCTGGCCAGGTGGCACAAGCTTCCGACCATTTCGTGCTCCCAAACTCAAACACACTTGAAATTAACAATTACAGTACTTCTAATAACAAATAAGAGTAAATACTGTCGAGACCGTTTATAACGAAGTCAACGGGAATTGGAAATCACTTCGATATATCCGCTATTTCGTTATAACCGACTTCGGTTATAACGAAGTGCAAAAGGGAATGGGGAATCGGGATCGCTTCGCTGTAGCCGCTATTTCGTTATAACCGACTTCGTTATAACCGGTCTCGACAGTACTAAATATAAAACTATAGTTTAAACATATCTTGTGGTATTTGTTTTTTGTACTATTCAAACTATTCAATTCGAAATCATTCGACCAAAATCACTAATCGCTTCGCATTCGATTCAGACCCAAAATCCTCTATTCGCCCATGCCTACTGTTATTACATTCATGTGATATCACACTTTAAGTTGATGAAAAATTGATAAGCATATATTCATTCATGCAGAAATGTTCATGTGTACTTTATCCTTCACTGAAGCAGCTTATCTCACATCCTAATAGACGTAAACAACAATAAGTGGGGCAAATTTCTGGGCCTCGGAATTTCTATGAAATACAAGGCTGCATGAAGGTACCATGTAGTCAGCGATGTCCATCTGTTATAATAATGTTCCATAAAATGTCACTAGAGTCAATGTCACCGTCCATCAATGAAAAATCACACACTACTTAAGTATGCAGGCACTTCTTCCAGGATGGAGGCACAATTACTGACATCTTGCAATCTCAAACACCAGGCAAGAAGCGTTTCAAGACAACCACATCACACTGGGTTTGTTTGCACAAATGGAGTGGTGGAGAATTGCGATGACGTAGGTTGACTGCTTGTGCTCATCTACATCGAAGGGATACATATGATGCAATATGATTCAATGTATCAGTTCACTGTAATTTCAGAGCACCCTATGAGCCCAAATTACTTGGTACCATTTTGTCCTACACCCGAATTCCACATCACACAACCATGAACATTCAGGGGATGTACCCAAATAGTCAAAATGCCCAACATCATCTCACGATATCCACTGGATATCAACGAGATAACCATTTTTCTTGAAACATCATTTGTGCCAAATCGCGAAGCCTCGGGGAACATAAAAAAGAGCAGTGTTCACAGGTATGTACTTTCCTCACCAGCTTGCCTCAACCCTCTTCCTTACATGTCATTTGTGAACATCTGTGCAATATTCTTAAAAAAATAAGTTTACCGTATTTCCTCAAGTTAATACCCTGAGGTATCTATAACCATCTCATTTTCTTTTCATTTTGGATGTTTGAAATTATGTTTGCATACATTTCTTAATCAGACATTCTGTCTCCCAAAGAGAGGACATCATCATCAGTGATGCGAAGTTGGCAGGAATGCCAACTTGGCATCACTGGTATGTCTCCCGTATGGGAGATGAGACATCTAAATAAATTGTTTATTAAAGTCCATGCATTTGGTTTCATTATTAGAATGATGCCAATGCGAGATAAAAAATTAACCATAAAGAATGTGGATGCAAATTCTGAAACCTTCTGCAAATTGTACAAGAACAAGGACTTTTTCAGAATTTGATGCAAATGGTTCAGTTGTGACATCACCGAAGAATACGTCCACTGTCAGCTTCAAAGATCGAGTGCAGGGAAGGTTGAAACCAAAGCTTACATGGTATAGCTCCTTGCTTGCAGAATGCTCATCAACAGTAGCGGGGCAGTAAGGCAATGTCTTGTAGGGGAAAGTAGTTTATTTGCGATTCACTGACTCCACAAAGAATGAAGGAGGACACTAATTGACACATTTCTTTTTACAACCTCAAAAACACAATTCAAACTGGAACAAAGTGAAAAAAACTACCGTAAAATCCTGAGAGATAGCCCATCTAACATCGAGAGCAAATCGGGTGAAAATATGGAGTGGGCTAACTTTCAGTGTACAATCAAGAACAGTTTAAAAAAGCCGTTTACAACTCCCTGTAACACCGAATTAGAGCGCAGCTCTTGAGGAGGAGGAGGGAAGGGTACTGGGGGGTGAAGTGACCCGGGGGGGGGGGGTCACGTGACCTTGGGGAGTCACGTGACCATGCCGATGATGTCATCAGTGACGACGATGCGGACTCCGATGACGTCATCAGCGATGATGACGATGACGATGCGGATGTCGGTGACGTCATCAGTGACATCGTCGGTGACGTCATCAGTGACGTCACTGATGACGTCATCTGTGATGATGACGATGACGGTGCGGATGACCCCGAAGTCACGTGACACCCCAAGGTCACGTGACCCCCGCCGAGGTCACGTGACCTCCCGATGACGTCATCGTCACTGATGACGTCACCGGCATCCGCATCGTCACTGATGACGTCATCAGTGACGTCACTGATGACATCACCGGCATCCGCATCGTCATCACTGATGACATCACCGGCATCCGCATCGTCATCATCACTGATGACGTCATCGGGGAGGTCACGTGACCTCGGCGGGGGTCACGTGACCTGGGGGTGTCACGTGACTTGGGGGGTCACGTGACTTTGGATGTCACGTGACCTTGGGGGCCACGTGACCTTGGGATGACCTTGGTTACGCCGACGCCGCTCAAGCCGGGAACGGGCCCCTAAGAGCTGCGCTCTAAAAATTGCTATTTTTAGGTCGTGTCCCTTTCAAGCTTGTCATGGTGGCGAGGGGCAGCGAAGCAAAGATGACTGTACTTCCCAGTTAGCAACATTCGCTTATACCCTGCCAGAACTAGCCGCATTTACGCCGAGACCGTCATTGATTCCAACACTACTATTACTAGGAGTGGGCTATATTTTGGTGTTTAAAAAAAATATAGCAAATCAAGCCGAAAATAAGGGTGGGCTATGCTTTGGGGGTGGGGCATCTTCCGGGATTTTTTGGTAGGTTAAAATGCATAGAAATCCAGAAAACTTCAAAAGAATCACTTTGCAAAATGTTATCACAAAAATCTAATAATAGGATTTAAGGTGCCTAATAAACCCCTTGATCCTCATCTATTCAAAAGGAAGCTTAAAGTAGTTAGTCCACCATCCTAATACAAAGGCATCCTGAAGTTTAAAGCTGCTTAATTGTATTAAACAGAAAATTCTACATCACTGTACTGTGGCTGTTCAAACTGATCTTGTTCAGAACTGATAAATGTGCCTGTATTTCTCAATTTCATTTGAACAGACAACAGACAGGCAGTGAAACACAAGGTAAAACACGAAAGAATTCTTTCATACCTCCAGATATTGCATGATGCAGATCCCTCACTTGTGCGCTTTTTTCCGATGGCTATTTAAATGGTAACTCTGTTTATACATTTTCCCACAGGCTTCACACTTGTAAGACCGCTCTCCTCTGTGGGTTCTCTTGTGTAGCAACATGTTAGATCTGTTTGAAAATTCTCTCTCACATGTACCACACTTGTACGGTTTTTCGCCCGTATGTACTCTTTTGTGAATCGTCAGGCTATCTTTCCTGGTGAATGCCTTTGGGCAAACCTTGCAACGGAATGGTTTCTCCCCCGTGTGGGTTCTCATGTGATACCGTAAGTTACCCATTTGAGAAAACTCTATCTCGCAGACAGAGCAGCGGAAAGGCTTCTCTCCTGTGTGTGTCCTTTCGTGCCTGGTGATTTTATAAAGACTCTGACAGTAGTAAGGGCAGAACTCGCAATGGTACATGCCCTCATATCGTGACCGTATTGTGGGTTGTGACGGAACCAGTTTGCTGCTTGGGAAAAAGGAGTCGCTTACGCTGTCCCCATCGTCCTGGAAGGCTGCTTCGGCCGGCACTGTCGAAGAGACCCGAGAAACGAGACAAGGAGAGTCAAAGACAAAGAGAGTCCAAAGCCAATACACAAACAGAAGACAAGCTCGGCGAAACAAGTAGCAAACAGAAACAAGCGTCCCAAGACCAGTTTGCTTCCAAACGAAGAAAACAAACTCAGCAAATAAGAACAATTAAAGTATTAAGAAAAGGTATCACATCAAAGTGATACCACACTTTAAGCTAATGAAAAATTGAAAACCGTAACCTATTCAAGCAAACATTTCACATGCACTTTAACTTTTATCGAATCAGCTCACCTGGCACCCTAACGGCCGTGAACAACAAAAAGCGAGGCTAATTTCTGGGCCTCATTATTGGTATGAAATATATGGCTGCAGTGAAGGTACCATGTAGTCAGCAGTGTCTGTCCATTGCAATAATGCTCTACAAAATGTCACTGTACATCAATAAAATATCACACACTACTTGAGTATGCAAGCACTGTTTCCAGTGGAAGGATGCACAATTACTAACATCTTGTAGTAATTGTGTTTGAAACCAGGTGTTTCAAGACAACCACTTCAGAAACGGTTTTGTTTGCAGAAATGGAGTGGTGGAGAATTGCGATGACGTAGGTTGACTGCTTGTGCTCATCTACATCGAAGGGATACATTTGATGCAATAGGGGACACTTATTTTGATTCAATGATGCTGGACTGGAGTAAACAAAAACACCACACAAAAAATGCATGTTCCCGAGAGTAGAGTTGGTCAGCGGGAAGGACCGTCTGCAAAGCAGCAATGTGCCATTTGCTCCATCTTACAATGGTTGCCAGAGTAGACCTGCAAGTTTGAGAAGAGAAGAAATTGAAGGCACTATCGCTGGTGCCATGTAAACATTTGACCATTTTTTAACACCCCAAACATGGCAGACTGACATGGACACCAAAGGCATATTGTAGCAAAAGAAACGGTAACAGGAGAGTGGTTGTTTGGGCGAGTTGGTTTGACATCTTATACAATCTTGTGCGCAACAAAGACGAGGACAAAAGCAGAGAAGAGGACACAACAAGGCGCAACTTTCAACTGAATTTTTTTCAGTTGGCGTGGTTTACCGCATTCCGTTGTCCTGTGGCAGCCACTACGTCGGGCAGACGGGGCGCTGCCTAAATGATCGGCTTCGCGAGCACAATAACAACGTGCAAAAAAAGAACGGTGGCTTTCTTGACTTGCATTGCAGGACATGCGGTTGTACCCCACTGTTGGATGAATGCGTAAAAATTGGGAAATGCAAGTCAGCGGTAACACGCGAAATCATAGAAGCCGAGCACATTGATTATTTAGGAGACATGTGTGTTGCTATGCCGTCGATCGCATTATCGGAGAAGGAATTGTTTTTCCTGAGAACGAGATAGTTATGCTCTGTCATGGTGTTTTTTCCTTTACTTTTTTCTTTTTGTTGTCATTGTAACGATGGTTGAGACTATATATATACCGGAACACGTTTTCAATAAAATTCAGTTGAAAGTTGCGCCTTGTTGTGTCCTCTTCTCTGCTTTTGTCTTTGTTGCGCACAAGATTGTATAAGGTAACAGGAGTGCTCAGAAAGAAAATACACAAGTAAAACTAACAGGATCAGTATTCATATGGCCAAACTCTGTATTAGAGTTTGCCTTTTACTTCCATGTTCTCGATTTTAGGAAATCGTAATTCTTAATGGGATTCGGGTGGGGTTATACTTTAATCTGCTCTAACGGTACAAATACAAATACTTTTTTACTTGTCATACTTTTTTCATGGCCACTTTAATAGTAGCTTTTATATTTGGCTGCATTTTCTTGCAAGAAGCAATGCACAGTGGCGGAAGTATTAGATTTAAAAAAATTAAGAAAAAAAGATTTATCAATGAACAAAACAATATACGAACACTAATTTCACATTTCCCAAAAAAAGCAGAAAGTTGATTGCCCCCTATTTAATCATTTCAAAATCCCCAAGCTCACAGCAAAACTACTCAGTTTGTCTAACACCATCCAATAAAACATTTCTCAAGAAGTGAAAAAAGAGAAAAAAAAAAATTAAAGAGGGAGACGTTGCTGAAAAAAATCTCTCGAATCAAATATTCACTCTACCATCCCAAGCAAGTCCTTCAAAAAAAAAAACAGACAAGCAAAGTTTTCTTGTGTGTACCACCTATGACACTGCACTTACATCCGGGGCTGTTAGAGGTCCCAGGTTCGATAACCGGACCAGGCGGATTTTTTCGGTCGTTCACCAGTCGCCTAGCTGCGTTTGGAGATGTCTTTGTCCTTTGTCGCTCTTGTTCCCCTTCTCCAGGGATCATTTTCGTCATCATGTATATGTGATATTTATGTGTGATAATATATACATATACATATATCATGTATATGTATATATTTGCGAGATCATTTCAAATGAAATGAAATGAATGAAATTATCTCGCAAATACCGCAAAGCTTTCGCTCTAGTAAAATGCAGTACCAAGGTCACCTGACAGACACCTTCAGCGTGCAAGTGTGTTCTCTAGTCGTAAGAAATCACTAGAACTTGGTCTTAAGCCAATGCAAGTGCGTGAACGGGCCTTGTAAACAAAGCCAGCAGCTGTTAATCCTGAAAACGAAAATGATTCATCAACAATTACTTTCTTATACTATAAAATGCTGCGGTTAAATCAACCACTAATTTCCAGCCCCCGTTAGCAAAAGAAAACACTGGCAAGAAGTTAGCATATTTACACGATTGCAAGTCGACTAGATTGTAAGTCGACCCCCTTACACCGCATGTCAGAAAAATGGAAAAAAAATTATATATTAAGGGCGTATTGTACGGCGAACATGGGAGAACTGCACGAAGCCTCTTTTGAATGCCTAGCTTCCATCGTGCGCTCAACGACTTCCGGGATGCTCTAGCTGCACGTGTGTGCACGAGATTCCGAAGAGTTATCCAAGTTAGCAAGCGCATGATGGAGGTGAGGTAACTGAAACTCCTCCCGGACCTTCTCATTCTGTCTTTCATCTGTATTGGTGCTGTCGTTCCAGTCACCACTGCGACGTTCCCAAAACACGTCGTCGGCGCTGCTCAATGAAATCTTGCACTGTGCAAATGACCGCATCTTCTGCACTTGCTAGGCGACACAAAGTAAACGTTAATTGCTACATAAAGCAGAAATGATAAGTTTTAGGGTAGTTCCACCAGTTCCACTTTTCTTTTCGGGGAATGTGCCAAATACACATAACAATTTTTATGCGAACATCATGTGCACAACGAAACAAAGGTAAATGAGCAAAAAAGTCAGGTTCCCACAAGAGAAACACCAAAACGTAGAAGGAACAGAAAAAAAAAAAAAAAAAGACATCTCAAACTCGCTTAACAGAACATCAACACAGAAGGACGAAGACTTTGTGGAGCGCAAGATCGTCTGCTTCTTTTGCAAAGGTTGTGGATGTCAGAACGCTGAGCTCCAATTGGCTCTGATGGACAGTGGGTACACCTCAAAGTAAGCTGCCTTGAGGCAATTACGATCCATGCACAGGCTAGCTGGTGGAAGTTTACCAAGATGATTTTGACCCGAGACTGGGGCAGAAGGAGTAAGTTTTTTTAAGCGGAAGAAAAACAAGGACAAACAGCGTCGAGGACAGACAGCGAGACGCTGTCTGTCCTCGACACTGTCTGTACTTGTTCCTTCTCTCCCACTGCAAAAAAACTTCCAGCTTCTGCCCCAGTCTCGGGTTAAAATCATCATTGTGCCTTCTTAAAATCGTCCATTGTACCCTCTACCCTTCAATCGGCCAATCAGAGCAAGGCATCCTGAAGTAAACACAACCCCAGCAGAAAGAAGCAGACAAACTTGCGCTACGCGTTAAGGGGGGACATGGCCTGGGAGGGTCAGCTTTTGAACTAATGTCTCAAATTGATTCAAACTTTCAGGGTGAATTGAACCCCATTAGGAGTGACGACATCTAAAGTTTCAGTCATATAGGCCAACTCTACAACATACTATGCTTAACAAGCTCCAGAAAAAAGTTAATTTATTAGGAAATGTATTTAAGAAAAATAATAATTGCAATCCACAAAATGTTTGATTTAATGTGAAGTAGAATACCCATAGTTTAAGGCAAAAATTAATTGTAGAAAATGCAATTCTAGAGAAAAACAATAACAGCCGAAAAGAAACGATTTTAACAAATTTCTGAGTTTTAAAATATTCATTTTCGGTCATGAAGAATTTAGCTTTTTCAGATTATGAGTACCTTAACTTGTTCCTCAGGAAATTTCAGTCCAGGGCAGCACTGAATGAAATCTTTACACTGTCAAAACGTCCAATGGTACATTTCCTCACACCACATTTTCTGCCAAAAAGTGAAACTGAGAAAAATGCATTTAAAGTTTCAACTTTAGGTTTCTTTCTTTTCCGTGGGTCCGAGGTAGGCAAAATTCACCAGGCGCATTGTTAGAACCTTCCTCTTTGAGACTTTCTGTTCCCCTGGCAATAGCTACCAGTTTGTGTTGTTTGTAGGCTCGCTAACTTTTGTAGCAGGCATTCCCTGAAGTATGAAGCAGCGCTAAATAAAAAACACAAAAAACTTGCTCCCTGCTGACTCGGAGGGCTGCCGACATGTTGAAAATAATTTATTCTGAGATAAATCCTGCATGTTTATAAACGAAAGTTTCTGAAACCATTCTTTGGAAGTTAATGAGCGTAAACATATTATTTTTGAAAAAAACATTTTTTTCTGAAAATTTTGAATTCCGAGGCCATGTCCCCAAGCGCCCGAACCTCCATGTTCGGAAGTACAGAGAGTTCCTGAGAAAAAAGAACCGTGTTTAAACAACAAGAAATGCTACATACCACAACTGTGGCTGTTGCATAACTGAAACTAATGATGTTCAAAACTGGATCAATGTGCCTCTTTCTCAACTTGATTTGAATAAACATTGGACAAGCAGTGAAGCACACGAAAGCACACGAGAATTCTTCCACACAAACGGGCTCGAGATATT